GGTGTGGTGGTGGGTGCCATTAAATCAGCAACATAACTTCCTCCTAAAAATCTTTCTCCTAACATCACCACATACAGACTAGATAAAGTGCTCCTTATACACAGTCCTGTAACCACCTCTGGATCTCCTAACCCTAAGGTCAGAAACATCCCCTTTTGCCCAGGGTGATCTCAGTTTAAACATCTCTTTCCAGAATAATAATTGAGGACTCCCCTTTCATCTTCAGGTCCCAATTTGAATGATAAACCACAAAATTATCTATCACAAAATGTATGTACTCTTATGTTATCTGTTTCATTATCTGACTTCCTTGCTAGACACTAAGCTTTGTAAAATGCAGGAACTATGACTATATTTTGTGCCAGTGCCTGGCATAGAACAGGAGTTGAATAGTTGTCTGCATAATAAATGAATAAATATTAAAAGAATTTTATTATAATTTTATTCATTTATAATAAGTGAATAAAAGAATTTTTTTAAATCATCACCATACCTAGTCCTAGCCCCAAGATTTTTCACTTTCAAAATCATTACTCCTTAAAGCTGTCCCTAATATTTGGTTTTTAAGCTTATCTTTAAATGAATTAAAATATATCAGAAGGGGAAGCACATGGTGAGATGTTCCTGTAACACATACCCCTTCAAAATAACAATGTTTGCTTTTGTGGGAGCTGGTAAATGGAAATATCCTATTCTCTTAGACTCAAAAAGAGACAACGCCTGAAAAGTCCAGAGTACCAAGTTCAGTAAAGATTTTTCCTAGTTGAGAGCTGAAAGTTATGGTAAAATTCCCAGATGCAGAAAAAGACCCACCAGAGCATCTTCCCACAATGGGGTCTTACAAAGCTATTGTAGCAAATTTAAATTGTACAAGAGTACTAAAAATATTTTCTATTTTTTCCACCTGCTTTCCAGGCCTTCACAAACCTTTAGGGTCTATAAGGTACGTAATTCCCTCATATTTTGCCATAAAATTTTTTATAGATAAATTATTTGCAAAGATGTTGGACGAAGTTTTTCATTTTCTGGGCTTGAGTTTCTAGTTCAAACTGCAGGAAGAACAAGGACAAATTTTAGTGATGATACTCTACAAATTCACCTATCCATTTGACAGAAGAGGATTAAAAGAATAAGGAAAAAATGCTTTTTAGAATAATTTTGGCATGCAGGCTCAGAGGCAAGTGTGACCAAATTATAAGGTTTACTGTATGCTTCAGAGTTAAACTTAATTCAGGTAACTTTCCTAAGGTGGGCAGCCAGTGTTGTGAAACTAAGGGCTAGTTCAAGTTTAAAAAAAAAAGAAAGATAAAGAGATGGAAAATGTCCAATGGAGAGGTTAAGTATACTTAGCAAAGGTGGTAAAACCACATGAATATTAATTGTGCCAATTCAAACCTTGGCCCCTCAATGAAACAAAAATATTTTAAAGCTTTAAGAGAAAATAAAGTAGGCTGTTCTTCCCAAGCTATTTTTCATCTCACTGCTTTTTACATTTCTTACTGCTGGTTCTCAGAATTGCAAGATTATAAAAAGAGAAACTACACTTTCAATCCTTCTTGATTGTTAACATCCTAGAAAACCCAGAGAACGACTGCAAGCTAACAACATAGAAAGAGCCCTTCTGTTCCTTAGGTGCTTAGTGAGGACTAGCTTTGTCATTTCCTTCCACACACTCCAGCCACGGCTGGAAAGGGTATTTTGAGCCCTGACTCTAGCCAGATGGAGAAGTCCTTTCTCAATCATGTCATTTTTGCTTCTCAGTTAATGCTTTTTCTTCCTTTCCCACCTGTTCTGTAATTTCCCTGTGTACCTCCTAAAGCAATCTATTTATAAAACTATTAATTAACTTCTTTTACAGTGCTGCATGCTGAACCAAGAAAGGCAAAGATGTGTGAAGAGAGCTGATGTTGAATTACATGTAAAATCCTTCAAAAGTTAGGATGACACCTTCAGAGTTCTGGCTCTTACTTCCAAGCTAGATGGGAAACACTAATTAGGCGTTTTGTCAAAGATTTCTGGACAATGGTGTCAACAAATTGTCTTCCCACTATAATGAAAACCTAGATTAATTATTTTTCATGTCATTACTTTCATTCTCAAAAGGAGAAACGGTCACTGTTTTTGTTACATACTGTTTTCCAAACACATCAATGTGCCTCACTATTAAAAATCTTACACACAAAATTCAAACCCAGAAAACATCTCATTTAAATTACAATTATTCACAGTTTTTAAGAAGATTCTCTTCACTAAATGATTCCTCATTGGTTTCTTTTCAATACAGTAGTGAGGTTTTTCAATATAATGAAATTATCTGAATATATTTTAAGATGTACACACAAGTTCTCAGAGTTTCACATTTTAAAATGTGCAACAAATTTATTCTTTTTCTGAGTAGATAGATTATAAATACCACTGTTTTCTCCCTGTTATACTGTCCACCACTGCATTGTCACTAATTGATATTTCATAGAAACTTTGTCCTCTTCCAAATGTATATCTCAAGTATATTTCTTTGATCATTTACTAATTTACTTTTTAAATTTAGTCACTCATGAAACTATTCATTAAACATCCAAGATGTTTCAGGTCTTCTATTCTGCAGAGACAATGGCTAATACCACTTTATACCTCTTCTCCTGTGCTCCTGTGCTCTGGGCAACACAGGACCTGCTTTTTCATTTAACTGGAATTCAACCTTTAGTCATAACCCTTAGTGATACTTTCAGTAGAACAGGAAGCCCTGCAATCAATACCATTGCATATGAAAATTTAACATATAATAATATGTTGCTGAGCATGGTGGCTCATGCCTGTAATCCCAGCACTTCGGGAGGCCAAGGCAGGCGGATCATGAGGTCAAGAGATCAAGACCATCCTGGCCAACAAGGTGAAACCCCACCTCTACGAAAAATACAAAACTTAGCTGGGCGTGGTGGCGCGTGCCTGTAGTCCCAGGTACTTGGGAGGCTGAGGCAAGAGAATTGCTTGAACCCAGGAGGCGGAGGTTGCAGTGAGCCAAGATTGCACCACTGCACTCCAGCCTGGTGCCTGGTGACATACCGAGACCCTGTCTCAAGAAATAAATAAATAAATAAATAAATAAATAAAGTCAGCGTCTCAAATTACTGGGAAAAAGATGAACATTTAAGTGAGTAGTACTGGGACAACTCTTAACAGATGGATAGCTATACTTTAAAATAGAGAAATGGATCCATTTCTGACATCATAAAACAAGATAAATTCCAAGTGTACCAGGAATGTAATAAAATGAAACCACACAAATACTACATGAAACATGAGTGAATTGCTTTATTACATGACACTTGGAAAAATGTTCCTAATCATGACTCAAAATCCAGTAGTAAAAACAGAAAAGACTGATAAAATTATTGATGGTTTAAAAAATAAAATAAAGTTAAAAACCTTTGTATGTGAAAAGCATTGTAAGTAATGTAAAAAGGGGACAAATGACGAACTGGGGAAAATATGTGCCACTTAAATCACCCAGAGCGTATATTCTTCATATAAACAGAGGTTTTAAAATTTGATAAGATTGTTGACACTCTATTGTCAAAAGAAACTAAGAAACAATTGAGAAGCAAATACACACGACCTACAAAAAGCTCAACAGTGCTAATAATAAGAGAAGTATAATTTTACACTTCCCTGAGATTCACGGTCTCATTTATCATTGGATGGGGAAAATCCAAAAGTTTGATCACATACACAGTTGACCAGAGATGGGGTTTCCCATCTAAATATTTTTAGTAGAGATGGGGTTTCCCATCTGTACATGGTGGTGCACGCCTGTAATCCCAGCTACTCAGGAGGCTGAGACACAAGAATTGCTTGAACCCAGGAGGAGGAGGTTATAGTGAGCCCAGATCATGCCACTGCACTCCAACCTGGGCGACAGAGTAAGGGGAAAAAAAAAAAAAACAAAAAGAAGGGACAAGGTCAAAGCAATACTTCTCTGAATATACCTTGTTTTGTACATTTCAGCTTGGTACAGTGTAAATATTTTGCATACTTATAAAACAAAATTAAACATAATAAAATGAGATACTTAACAACTGAGAGAAAAATTCATCAAGTAAATAAAACTGTGTATCTGGTGGATGGCAAAAACCACATAGAGGAACTATTCCAAATGACTTTGAAACATTGTAAACTGACAATAAATTTCTATTGAGATATATTCTGAGGACAAAAAGAACTGCAAATAAATCTTGAAATTATCAAATAACTGATGATAGTGGTAGGTATTGTTATTCCAAGACTGTCATGTGTATTGTGAGATTAAACAAATAATTAATTGTGTTGGTGCCATCAGGAACCAGGATTTCTGGCCTGAAAGAAAGGAGATACAAATATAAGATACAGGAGATTGAGTTAAAAGTCCTATTCTATATTTGAATATATATTGCTATAAATTCATGATGTATTTTATGTATATATATATATATATACATAAAATACATCATGAATTTATA